TTGAGTGCAGGATTTTTCTTTCACACATAGCCAGAGCAGGACCCCAATCCAGATCAGGACTCTAGTTTGGCAGGGGGATAGGTGACTCTAACCTTTTGTCTCTGCTGCAGTCCCAGTCTTGATTGCCGCTCCCCCCAGTGTCTGCTATTTGCATGGAGAAAAAAAGCTCCCATTAGCTTCAGTGCATTTGGGGATCATTCTGGATTGGGATCACAGGGAGGGGGGAGGGGATTACAGACTCCTACTTCCAAAACCAAAGTCCACCCACACCAGACTTGGTGGCAAGTATTGGTGGCTATTAGTGTAAGAAAAATCCTGCACTTGAAGGTAAACCACATGCAGCTTGGCTCTGACTCTGGTTGAATATGAAGTAAAACCACCCCGTTTCCTTTTTTCTCCCACTTTGAGCACTGATCCATGCCAGCATTTGCTTATGTGCATATGTAATATTATTTCTCAGGCTCAGTTATGCATATATAAAATTGAAATAATAGTTGCCTCCTCATGGGAGTTTAGATGAAAGACTTGCAAAATGGAGTTATGTATAAATAAATACATGGTTCTTATTCATAATGTTGTCACTCCGGATGCCTCTCTGCAGGACAGTCTTGTTGCAGATCTAATTTCCAGTGCTCAGATCACTGGGTACTGTTCCCCCTGCAGTTATCTTTACTGTTATGCTTGCTGTTGCAGCAGGCAATCATCACACTCTAGGTATCAAGTTGGGGCTCGTATGTGTTTGTGGGAGAAATCCAGACTCTTATCAACTGGAAAGACATTTAACATTGCAAAGAACTTTGCATAGCAAACATTTTGATTAAGGACCTTGTGACCCACCTAGTGAGCTACCATGGGCTCATGCCGGGCATTCTCAGAGAGTTGCTGGTAGGAATTGTGGGGAGGGGAGAGATCCAGTTCAGTTCACATTTAAAGGGCAAGCCCACCTAATTTGCTCATTTTGAAACCTTCCAAATTCACACCTGTCCCATGTTTGCAATGCAGTTCTCTGACCAGTGCTAGAGAAGATTGTGCATAAATTAAAACTGCATAAATTACTGAAAATAACATACAGAAATGCATTCTGTTGAGAGAAATTGCTTGCAAAAATGTGTTTATTTGAAATTCACCTGAAAGAGCTAAAAAAGTTCATGAAGATTATACAGTGTTTTCAAAAAGTAATTATACAGTTGTACCTTGGATCTCAAACACCTTGGCTCCCGAACAAATCGGCTCCCGAACGAACAAAACCTGGAAGTGAGTATTCCAGTTTTTGAATGTTCTTTTGGAAGCCGAACGTCCAACAGGGCTTCCACGACTTCCGATTGGCTGCAGGAGCTTTCTGCAGCCAATCAGAAGCCGCGCATTGGTTTTCGAACATTTTGGAAGTTGAATGGAGTTCCGGAATGGATTCTGTTTGACTTCCAAGGTACGACTGTACACCTATGGACAATACCTATATTAGGTGTATAGTTACTTTTCGAACACCATAGGTGAGCTTAGAGAACCAAAACTAACTGTTCATTGCATTCCTAGTTGCTAGTGTTCCCAGTACCTTGGCAAAGCTCACACATTCTCATATCTCACCTGGACCTGTGAGCCAGTGTTTTGTATTTTCCATAGTACCCCGATGTACTGTCAATCTGGAGCATTGTGGCAAATTTGAGACAACAATCTACTACAGTTGTCAGATAAGTTTGTAATCTGTCAGTGTATAAGGGACATGGAGGGGGGCTTTGAATTGCATGGTCAGATGAGATATAAGAGGTTGTATATTCTCTCTCAGCCCCCCCCTTTGGTTTTAATGGATAAGCTGTACATTTTAGTGAAGGAGCAGTATGGGAGGAGATGGGGCTGCATCTTGTCTCTGGCAATGAAAATACAGTGCTGTTCTGCCAAGTTTGTGAGGTCTTTGAGCAAGATGCCCTCCACGAGCCCTACATACTGTCTGTCCGTTCCTTTCCCTGATGCCTGCCTGGCTGATCTCCTGACATCCCCTTCCCCATCTTTCCTACAAAGTGGGAAAGCAGTAGAAGTCTTCATGATTTTCTTTCTATCTTTCAAATTAATTTGAACAATTTTTCCCAGCCTTCATTGCAAATCAGTACCAGTGCAAGATACAGAAAAATGAATAACGGTGTCCTCTGTAAAATGTACAAATTTCAGAACAGTGGTTGTGGCACCATTGATACCCAACCCCAATGGCTGCAGGGCACCATTAGATGTTGGGATGGCTTGGACACAAACAACTCTCTTTATTGATACACTCCTTCATACATTTGTTGTCTCTTTTTGGTCTTCTCACTGTTTCCCTCTTGCCATGCCTTCCTCTTCCTCTTATCTCTTTCCCCCAGGGTGCTTTGTGGACAAACTTGTAGGGGGGAAGAATAATATGGGAAAGGACTACAACTAGAAGAATATGAGAACTGTGTAACTGTAGGAATACAAAAACAGCTCTTCACTATTTTTCACTTAAAATTCCCTCTTTCCCCATACGCATTTTCTCCTGGAGGGAATAAGATATAGGTCCCTCTCAATATGGGGGAATAAAATTGGGGGATGATTTTTAGTGGGAAAACAGCCAGAAAAGAAAGGCAGTGCTCTATTCCTGAGAGTGGTATTGAAATTATTAATGATTTTCTGAATTAGGATGATAATCAGAAACAGCATGCCTGCATGAATAAAATATACATTTATGTTATTCAGATTCCATTGAAGTTCTTATAATCAAGGAGAAATACACAAGATTTTGGCAGGGGCAAGAAGACAGAACTGAATGAGGTTTGCATGTGAAACAATGCTACAATTGTTCATTCATTATGCTTTTGTCAGAAGTGCAAAGATTTAGCTGATGGGAACCTCAGACCTGATTAAAAATTGTAAATTGCCACTCTACTGAAGCATTTTATAAGGAATAAAAATTTAGATGTATTTGGAATTAACATAGGCAGAATGGTGATTCATCATCCTCACATTGCAAAGAAATCAGACTGATATTTTCAGAAACTCAAAGTAATCTGCTCTTTCATTATGTAGAGCTTTTCATTCCCATTTGCTTATGCTTGCAATGGGTGAAGATGGATGGTAGATTAGATTTGGTAAAAATTTAGTCCTTGAATATCTTAACACCTAGATTATTCACCAGACTTGTTGGAGCAGCTCTGTCTTAACACAACGTCATAACCGCCAGAGCTCAGAGCACTATTCTGTTTGAGTTCTGTACTGCATTTGAACATGCTGCAGAATAAAATGATGAAACAAGCTTTGTTGTTGTTGTTAAGTGCCCTTAACTGTGAAAACATGATAGTTCAAGTAGTTCAAGAGTTGTGTGTGAGCTATAATCTGCATAAGAAATTGAAAAATATGAGAAACAATACCATTCTGCAATTTCATCTATTTACTATTTGTGGGATGTTTCAACTATCTTACTATAAAAAGACACACCAGAGAGAAGATATATTGATGGAGAACACAAATTGGCCCAGTTCAGACATAACAGAAAACCATGGTTTTCTGTGTTGTGAATTGGTCTGCTTGAGCATTATTAGAAACCACAGTTTGATCCTGCCTTGTTCTTAGTAACTAGCTTTATGCTACTGTATTGAACCAGGTTTGTGGCTTTACTGTTAGTATATAAACTCCTAAACAACTTGGAACCAAATTACCTGAAGGACTGCTAGATTACCCCTGATGTAGCTGCCTTGTCTATACAATGACTAGGGATGCCCTTCTAGTAAGTACCACATGCTCCTGAGGTCTGCTCCATGGTTACCTGGAGCAGGGCCATTAGCTTTGCAGCACCATCCCTCTGGAACTTTCTTTTGCAGTAGTGGCCTGTGCAGCATATAATGTTGATGGATGTGGTCTGTAAAAATTGGTTTTGTAATTGGGAGCCCTCCAGTACTTTATTGTACAGCAAGGAAGGGCCATGGGTTAGGGTATTTGTGTAGGAAAAGACATGTTCAGCTGGTGGACCGCGATCGACAGGTAGATCCCCGGTTGATTTTGGTTGATTGTGGGATCCTTCTCGATCACAGGATTAAAAAAATAGCAGAATGAATATCTCCGCCCCCCCTCTCTATTTGTTTCTCTGTTGCGTCTAGTGGGCGTGGGTTTTTTTTGTTTTTTTTTGCATTTGTTGAGGTCGATAGGGGATACAATGATTGGTTTTAGCGGTGTGTGCATTTGTAAACTGTGGATTGTTCTGCAATCCTTCCCCCCAAAAAACTCAACAACTCTGGTCAGTCTTCCTCTTCCACCCACCCACCCAAGTCATCCTCCCTCCAATGACAATGGGTAGATCACTGCCAGTTTTTTTTTTGTTATACTGGGAGTAGATCACAGTCTCTTGGGAGTTTGACATACCTGGTGTAGGGGGAAAATGATTTTATTATCCCTTCCCCATTTCTGAAGATTCTTCACACCCTTGAAGGGTCCTGACAGCACCACAAGACTTATGCTCTGGCTGCTTGTGGCGTCAGCTGATGCGCCCTACAGTACCCTGCCTTGGAATAAAAAGTCTCACAGAAGTGGGCCCCAAGAAAAACAATCCGAGAATGACTTTTCTTTGGACATATCCAGTAGCTGTTATAGGCTGAAGGAACACTTTAACCAAAGCATTAAGTTGGAAATACTATTATTTTAGCTTATATCAGTAGGAATTCACTTACCTAAGATAAAAAATGTGGCGGGAAGCTGTTTAGAAAAAATATACTATTACCTTGATAAGGCTGAATTTGATCAGATTATAGAGCTTTATGTAATTATAAGTTTCATTTTCTCAAATTGGCTGTTTCTGTAACAAACTAAAATTTGTGAAATTATCTATACCTATATCTATCTACATATCAGCCGAGCTAATTATGATTTAAATGTGTTCTTTAAAAATTCATGCAAGACTGCTTATTGGCAGACATTAACACAGTCTTCTAATAGCCTTTTGTTTGATGTATTATGGTAATGGTTTCATACATCACATTTATTCTCAAATCCTTTTTATTTATTTCGTTCCGAGGCAATTTATAAACCAGAGACAGAATGCCAAGAGTAATAAAAAAAGAACAGGTATAAATCAGCTGTTAAAACATATGGCTCTATTTCATCACAACAAGGCATTCATTATTCACCAGCTTTATCAGTTGTCACTGCAGTTTACACGTCTTCAACTTCATTCTTCCCGTCACTGGCATTCAGAATTGTTCTCTCCTCTTCAGGCTTCCTTGACATCTTCTCTAGTTTCTCCTTCTGGCTCTCTGATGGGCAGAACAATCCAAACTCTCATAGAGGTTGATATGGATGAGGTGGTGTCCCTCTGTCCAGCTCTGCCTGGCTTGGCTGCTCTCCACTGGTGGGAAGCTCCTCTACTGCAGACGTCCTTAATGCGCCTGCCTAAACTGTAAAAATATAAGTTTTTTCCTTCTGTCCTCCTTCCTCCCTGTCCAGAACAAGCAGTGGAATGAAGGAAGCTCCTCTGCTGCCCTGGCGGGGTTAGCATTGCATTCTAATTGTCTCTTTAAATAGATATTATTTTCCCATCTTCACAATTGGACCAAGCCTTAGACCTTTCTTACTCTGCACGCATATTCACTTGGGATAGTTTCCTTCAAAGGTCCAGTGCCGAGGGCCTTTTGGCGGTTCCCTCACTGTGAGAAGTAAGATTACAGGGAACCAGGCAGAGGGCCTTCTCGGCAGTGGCACCCGCCCTGTGGAATGCCCTCCCACCAGATGTTGAGGAAATACACAACTATCTGACTTTTAGAAGACATCCGAAGGCAGCCCTGTTTAGGGAAGTTTTTAATGTTTGATGTTGTCACTTTTTAAAATTAATATTCTGTTGGGAGCCACCCAGAGTGGCTGGGGAGGTCCGGCCATATGGACGGGGTATAAGTAATTTATTATTATTATTATTATTATTATTATTATTACTGCACATCAATACCTGCGTTTATTTTTGCAGCTCAGAAGTTTTGCTTTCTGTCCTGCTGTCCAGGGCTGGATGTCCTACCACTAGTGTGAGCAATGGCAATTATAGTAACTGACCCATTCTAAAAATGGGAGGCTAATGCTAGGATCCATGCTTCTTCCCTTGCCTGTTCCTAGGTGTTTCTCTAGTTTGCCATCCTAAACACACTACCAAGGGAGTAAGCCCCACTGGATGGTACCTGCCCCACTGTCACTAAGCAACAGTGAATGATGCTTGCTTATGAGTAAATATGCATTCTGTTCTCACAGTGGCAAACAGATGCCCAGGGGCAGTCCATGATGTGAATGCAGTAGCACTGTCCCACTCATGACCACCAGCAACTGCGATTCATACTGCCTCTGATACTGAGGGTAAAATATAGTCTTCATGACTACTAACAATAGATAATTTTATCATCCACACATTTGTCTAACCCATAGCTGTCAACTGTCCCTTATTTGGCGGGAAACTCCCTTATCCCAGCGCCGTGTCCCGCTGCTGTCCCTTATTGATGATGTCCCTTAAATTTCCCGGGTTTCAAAGGAAGCAGCTCCTCTCCCTCCCTCCCTGCCGGCCAGGGAGGAGGGAGGCTCCAACTGTGTTGCTTGGCTGCGTTGCTCACCCAATAAGGAGTCTAAGAACGACTGGGGGGGTGGAGCTTGCATGCCTTGTGCCGATCAAATCGGCTGCATTGCCTGGGGACTCACCTTTGCTCAGCGCTTCCCAGCGGAGAGGTGACGGTGGTTTTCCTTGAGGCTGCTGGCTGGGCTTTCTGCCTTTGGCTCGGAGGGGCTCAGAAGTTGAGCATACCTGTGCTTGGATCAGAATCGGATGGATACGTCATCGACAGCCCACTCACCCTTGCCGGGGAGAAGGTCTGTCTGGAGCGGGGACACATGGTGAGGGAAAAGGAAAGGCGATCCCTTATTTTGGCTGCTGATCCCTTATTTTCGAGGCTGCTGATCCCTTATTTTCAAATCTGTAAGTTGACAGCTATGGTCTAATCCCCCTTTAAAGCTATCCAAGTTGGTGGCCATCTTCTAATAGTGGCCACAAGCTACTACTGTAAAGGTGTTATCCAAAACACATTTACTAGTGAGTAAGTCCTGTTGAACTCAGTGAGGGTTAATAAGTATACTTCAGATCACTTTGTATACCCTTAGATAATAACAGCCTATTAACAGATAATGGAACATCTGTCATGCAGTGAGTTTCTATAACAACTCAACTTAACAAGAACCTGTAGCTTCCTGCAGTTTTTGCTTTATAGTGATTTTTCCCTTTTCACACGATCCACTCTTATAGGAATGTTTGTAATTTCATGTATTATTACAGTATTCATTGAGAAGCCTTATGAAATGAAGCATGAACACTACATTGATTTGCTAAGGTTGCATGACTAGGAAGTAAGTCTTCCACAGTGGGACAACTTCTGTGTAAACCATCTTAGGATCCTACTACATGGAAAAGAGAGCAATATTGAAAGCACCTGTGCTAATGAAAATTGACTAATTTCAATATATCCCTGCAACCAGGGCAGTTATGTTCTTTCATGCATATTATGCCTACAGTATTCCCTTTAAAGAAAGCTATTGAGGAAGAGTGTAAGCCACATTTTCATCTTTGCTTCTGAACTTTCAATGGCCAGTATCCCTACAGCTATTTACTGATATTTAGAATTTTAGTTCATAATTTCTCAGTTTTTATTGATGTTTCATTATCTTATTAATGCTATTTTAAGGTTACTATATGCTTTTGATTTCATATGGTCAACACAATTCCAAGAATCAATACAATTTGATTTGATAAACTTGGATTTGACTACTCCAGGCTGTGAGTTTGGAGAACTGCTGCATAATTCCCTGATCAATAAGTAGTTACATTGAAGTAGTGGGAGTGAAATCAATGGAATAAATTGGCTTGAATCCAAGTGCTTTCACTTAACTGTGCTGAGGAATGGTGTGTAAATCAATAAGCTTAACCATACTGCAATTATACTTCAATTATTCTATTTTGATTTTATTTATAGCTTATTATTGTTATTCATTATTGTGATCTAATAGAAATGGACTTTCCCCAGTTGAACCATTTAGATTGCATATTCAAGGTTGTTATACAGAATTTACCATCCAAGGGCCTCCAGATTACTTTCCCCCTTAAGGTAGAAGAGAAAAACATGGCAGAACACACTTCATCTTGCATTTTGACTGTATATGGTAGCTTTCTGCCTAAGGTAAGAAAGACTTAAGATTACGTTTCTATATGGCTGTAACATTCTGTCTTTTTTTTTTAAGATTGATTTTACAACATGCCCATCATAAAGGTGCCAGTGGTCCACAAATTTGGTATTGTATGCCATGATGAACATAAAAAACTTCAGCAGAGACTCTTGGCTAAATATCTGAAGGAAACGTTACCTGCAACCAAGAAAAAGAAACACGTGTAAGTTTAAATAAACACAAAACAATATTATTATATAATGCCTACTGGCAAGTGGACAAAGATTTTCGGTGTTTCCAGTGAAACCTGCAAGCATGTTAATGAGAGACTCAGGAGCATGGAGAAGATATAGATAGGAAAAAGTGGTTTCTGGGGAACTCTAACGGAAATGACAGCAGGAAATAACCATTTGACTGGGTGGGTACACAAGGAGCCAAAGATGCCCCCCAAATTAAAAGATTGTTAGACAGGACAACAGAACAAACAAAACTTCTCTCAGGATAGTATGAGCTAGGTTACTACCTGCCATTCTGTGACTTACTGGAAACTATTTGCTTAGTTGATAAAGGTGGACCCCAGGGTGGTTAAAGTCCAGTCAAAGGCAATTATGGGGTTGCGGCGCTCATCTTGCTTTCAGGCCGAGGGAGCTGGCGTTTGTCCACAGACAGCTTTCCGGTTCCTGTGGCCAGAATGACTAAGCCGCTTCTGGCGCAACGGAGCACCGTGATGGAAACTAGAGCCCACAGAAATGCCATTTACCTTCCCGCTGCAGCAGTACCTATTTATCTACTTGCACTGGTGTGCTTTCGAATTGCTAGGTTAGCAGGAGCTGGGACAGAGCAACGGGAGCTCATCCAGTCGCGGGGATTCGAACCACTGACCTTCCAATCAGCAAGCCCAAGAGGCCCAGTGGTTTAGACCACAGCACCACCCGCGTCCCTTTTTTGCTTAGTAAGTGGAGATTAGATGTATCAAAGGCATCTGTCAACCTTGCCTTAGGCCTGCTGCTGACTAGCGTGATATCAGTTGGTTGCTCAAACGGTATACTATTGTAAAAGTACAATCCATATTAAGTCTCCTTTAACTCAAATCCATATTTTTGGATGCAAAATAGAAGATGTGAAATAGTGTAAGTCATTTTTAGCAGTGTCCTATTTTAATTTAAAGAGATTTTATCATTACTGTTTTCCTTATTAATATTATTATTCCTTTCATCATGTCACATTAAGTTTTTCAAATGCATTAATGCTCTGATTGGGATTCTTTCCTATGAAGCTTAAAGGTAAAGGTAAAGGGACCCCTGACCTTTAGGTCCAGTCGTGACCGACTTTGGGGTTGCGGCACTCATCTTGCTTTATTGGCCAAAGGAGCCGGCGTACAGCTTCCGGGTCATGTGGCCAGCATGACTAAGCTGCTTCTGGTGAACCAGATCAGCTCACGGAAATGCCATTTACCTTCCCGCCGGAGCGGTACCTATTTATCTACTTGCACTTTGATGTGCTTTTGAACTGCTAGGTTGGCAGGAGCAGGGACCGAGCAACGGGAGCTCACCCCGTCGCAGGGATTCGAACCACGACCTTCTGATCGGCAAGTCCTAGGCTCTGTGGTTTAACCCACAGCGCCACCCACGTCCCTATGAAGCTTAGTTCTAGAGAAACTAAGACAGCAGATGTTTAAGAGGCCAATCTAGAGAAATATCAGGTAGATTTCTATTTAAGGGAGGGGTAGTAATTTCACTTAAGTAATCAGTTCCAGCTCAGAATTTATGTTTACCTGCTAGTATGTATTGATTAGTCTAATTCAGGCATAGACAAATTCCGGCCCTCCAGATGTTTAGGACTACAATTCCCATCATCCCTAGCTAACAGGACCAGTGGTCAGGGATGATGGGAATTGTAGTCCCAAACTTCTGGAGGGCTGGAGTTTGCCTATGCCTGGTCTAATTTCTTCACCAACAATCATTCAAAGGGCTAATATTGTGAAGAGTTAACTCTTTCCAACATGATGAAATTCTTATATGGAACTGTCTTGTAATGTGTTGTGTATTCAGTGAGTAAATACATGCAGATGTTTTTGTAAAGCATGATGGTTTATACATAGATTATTGGCTGTTTTTTACAAAATACTGCATTCCATGAAGAAATGTCAATAACTTGGAAACAGCATAATGATGAACCGTAAGTGCAGTGTTTAATAATCAATATATTTCTGTAATATTCATAGTCTATTGGCTGCTATTGAAACAGTCTTAATAGCATTATCCAACTGATAAAGTATTGTAAATTAGAAACACAGAACAATGATCTACACTGTACATTGAGTCAAATAGGACTTTAAAAATTAAATTAGCTGTCTATAGTTATCTTTCATACACAAAATTTTGATTTCATTTACTGATGATGTGTCAATTAAACTGAAATTCTTCACTGGATTCTTTATCAGAAACCCATATGAACTTACAGAACAATTCGTTGAGGATTTCAATTACGCACTACAAACAGAAAGTAAAGAAAAATTCATAGAGCTGGCTAAAAAAATGCTTGCAAGATGCAAGGTCTGTATACGTAAGGATTACTGGATTTCTAAAGAGACATTTATAAAGGCCATCTCTTGATCTTAAATTTCTACAGTGGTGTTTAATAGTTAAGAATTAATTTAAATATTTCTGATGCAAAATGTTCATTATTTACTTTTTGAAAGTGACCTTTAAGTTGCCATTTTCATAGTGTTTTTCTCCCTGTTCATTTTGCAGAAATAACACATTTGCTGATATAAGTCAACAAATTCAACCTTCGCACTTGATACCACAGGCTCCTAGTGAGGGTTGGCAGATTTTGGATAGAGATTGTTGAGATTATTGATAACATCCAATATCTGTATTGATAAAAAGTCAATAATGAACACATAAAAATGCAAAGGGCAATATTTATGTTTAGTACAGTTGTTTATGTATGCTTAT